CAGTTGCCTTTCAATGTGCTTCCATGAATCTATGACTACGCAAATGAATTTTAGTATTTTAGATTTTAGTATTCAAAATTGTTTCTATTTCCTTGTGTTTTGTTTAAAATCTGCTCAATAATTGCATCTCATCCTATCAAAACAGTTCAACAAGATTTAGTTGAAAATAATCAAATTGCATTTCATTAGATAATAATATTTGCTTTATGATACCATTTAAAGAAAGTAGATTGATTAAAGAATGCTTAACATTATTGAAGAAAGAATAATTGAATGAATAATTGGAAGCATAATTTTTGTTTAAAATCTCTTAAATTGTCATCTGATGACAATTGGCCGATTTATGTGTTGTCGCTATAATAAAGAACCCAGAATGCTGTCAGCTCTTTAATTGAAGTTGAGTGAGAGTATTGAGAGCTAGCATAAGCATAGAGGATCCCTGTAGCAAGCATTGGCGATGGATTGTTATCTCCAAGCACCAGCTCTGATATTGCCGGGTGTAGTTGACAATCAACTGATTTCAGTAATAGCTGCGTTCAAATGTCGAGCCAGCCTGTGTTAGAAAATCCTGTCAGTTCCTACATAAGTATATAATATTTGTGTCCAGTGGGCTTAGTAAAAACTTCTAGACCCATATGATGATGATGCTTCAAAAATGTCGTCAATTTATCGCAAGCCGCTGTCTAATTGAAATTCTCTAGAGTCAGGCAACAGAGGTGATTTCAGAAATTACCAATCAATTGTTGTTTATAAATGCGAACTAACCAATGCAGCTTAATTTAAATATATATAACATTATAATTTTTTCATTTTTTATTCGACAAGTTTTTTTTTAGCCTTTTCCTGCCAGCGCGTCTAAAAATTAATTGATTTGTGTCCATTGTGTTAACAGGACTTGAAAAATAATTGTTTTTTGTTTCAATTGTATGATTTAAACAATGAACTAACCCAAGCCCAGTTCGGGCAATAAAAGGCTTTATTTAATAATATACTATTTGCAAAATATCTTCCTTTGAGCACTAAATTAACTGCGAATATTTTATTTTATTTATTTTATCGAATAGTGTCCAATAATGCAACGTTTGGTAGTTTTCCGCTATTTACAAAGGTCAATATATTTACCTTGGCATTCACACAAAAACACTCAGAAATCGAAGGCAAATGTCAATAAGAGCCTAAACTATGATTATGCTGACTAAGCAGGTTTCGGTTAATGACAAAAATTATTGGATAGTCAATCGATTTTGTAGTGAAAAATTTTATTTTCAAATGAGGCATTTTTTTTTTTTCGTCTGGCGACTTTATTGTCAAGTCATAGCTTATTGGAAACTGAAAGGCAACCTGGCGGGCAGACAGAGGCGGACAGACGAGTTTCGTAGGTTTTGGAGCAGGCAATAGAAAGATTCTAAGCCAATTACTTCCGCGCCTGCGAATATAAAATAAAATTAATGAATTAAACTTTTGTGTTTGTGACGCATCTGATTTTGGGGTTTTTCCATTATTGTGTCGTCCGCATTTTTGAAAGGCATTTTAGAATAGTATTTTCTTGTTTTTGGACATTTACATGTGGAGTTCACGTGGGTTCTTCAAAATAGCAAAGTATTAGCATAATTGCTATCAGCATGATAAGTCGATTCTATTCTATGTAGCTTGTTTAATAAAAACAAACACATATCTTACTCGCACCTATCTAAAATATTAATTCCATTTTAAATACGGATTTTTAGTTCCTACTTGCAGGCGAGAATAATACAAATAGAACAGGTAATACCAATAATTTGCAATGACAAAGTTCAGCCTTCATTCAGAGTGTATCTTTATTTATTAAGTTCATGGTCTCACAGCTATGATTGTAATATTTGAATGGCCAGTCTTTGTATTTTATTATGTTTGTTAATGAGCGCAGTACAAGACTAGTTTCGTTCCAAATTAAATGGGGTTAGTATTTATTGGAATTCTTTGACTATTCAGATTATTTAATAAATATAAAAATTAGACTTAGCCAGAGAACGATCATTATTGCAACTTCCACATAGACCCATAGTGTGTCCGTATATGGAAGATAAGTTAGAAGACGCCGTATTGGATCCGCCAGCATCCTGTACTTCAAAAAAGATTAGTTGTTCGTTTTAACATTTTGTGGGTCTTTGCATTTCCCTGTCTGCAGTTTTTATAGCCAGCTTCTTGGCCTTTAAGGTCACATGTAAGTCTGTGTTCCTTTCTGTGGTGTTGCAGTTGGAATTGAGTGGATCTTTTCTGTTGCAGTTGGTAGAGCCGTGATTGTTTGGACTATATCTGCTATATCTGCTGCTTATTCTTTTGCCAGAGTATCTGCCAACTCAATAATTCCCTTAATGCCTTGATGGCTGGGAGTCCAATAGATATTTAATAGATATGAATAATCTAATTGCTCGCCAGTTCATTTTAAGAGCAGATTTTAGCGTCTGCAAAGTTGTTATTGCGTTCTGGCTGTCCACACATATATCTTGAGTGGCCTGTACTTCCGCCTCGAAGAAATTGGCGTAGTAGACAATTTATTTCTATCCCAGTTCCTGTTTCTATCTTTAAGACGGTTGCTTATCAACATATTATAATATTGAGAACCTGTTTCAACATTTTATTCAATCACAGTTAATTAGAATTTAAAAAAATCGTTAAAGCAATAATGGAAGGCATAGACGCAAGCTTTAGATAAGAATATACACATTTTTATTTTGAATTAATCATATATTGAAAGCATTACTAGCTTGGATGTTTCTGATTTCTCCTGCTTTGATAAAGCATAGTTTCATGTTTCCAACTAATCAACTATTATTACAGTGTTGTTATCAATCAGTGTACATTTAATTACCAACAGCATATTTGCCCATTTACTGAACCAAGTCGCCTGTAGTTGGGATACAAAAAATTACTACAAAAGTAGTTTGATGCTCCAAATATTGCGTTTTAAGTTTCTTCTTTTGAATTGAATGCTCCCTTATTATGTTGTTGTGCATAAATTATAATTGAGTACTTCCTTCTCTTGCCTTATTATTATTATTATTGTTAACGAGACATGAGAAGGAAAACGCAACGCATGTTAAATGATGTGACAAAATGTCTGTCAGCATAATGGCGAGAGAAATGGAAGGTAAGACAAGATCAACATCTCTGTCTGAGTGTTGGAACACCTTTGCCGCCTGCTCGCAGCAAATTTTTTGATTAATTTTTTTAATATTATTTATGCGTTTTTTTCTGTACAAGCCGTTTCTTTTTTTGGGGGAAAAACTTAGCAAAAACAGCAGCGCGCTGTCTTCGCATTGCGACACATTCATTGTTAATGTCAAAATAATTGGACACGCTTGCCAGTCCGGCCCCTACTAAGTTGCTTTTGCTCTTTGCCTTTCTGCCTTTCAGCATTTCTGGGTCTCTCGATGGGCGATGGTCGATGGTCGGTGGTTGTTGGTTGGTTGGTTGGTTGGTTGGTTGGTTGGCGGCGGGTGTTGACGAGCGTCGCGTGTGGCACGAAAATTTATGTGTTGTGGCTACCGCAGTTGATGCCACCGGCACAACAGAAAGTGCTACTGAAAAAGAAAAAAGAAACGACAACAAAAGGCTAACAAAATGTTATGTTAATTTTTTGCGTTTTGCGCCCTGTCGAGTTCGTTACTTAAGTCTTTTGTATCTGACATTGCACTGACCATAAATTTTGACAGCCTATATTGACAAAGATATGACTATAGAGCCGACAAATAAAATACGATTTTCTCGAGCTTCTCAGCCACTACTGGCGACAAATCGTCGCCTATTAACATGCACGTGTGAAGTGCATAACAATTCGTTTATTTTGTTGCTGGCATGCATCGTTGTTGTTGTCATTGTTGTTGCTGCTGCTGCTGCTGCTTTATGTAAAAACAAATTTGCATTGCACATATAGGCACGCGTGCCCATTTTGACATTAAGAATTGCTGGCAGGCGGGCAGGCAGTCAGAAAATTTATCGGATTGCTGTGTGTGAGTAAATAAAATGAAATAAGGTTCACTTAATATTGAACTTTGCGCAGCGATGTCTGATGTACAGGCATTTTAAAAGAGTGGTGTTTGCAACTTAAATGATTATTGGTATTTGTGCAAGCGTGGATTGATAAATCTTTAAATTCAATTGCTACTCTCTAATGCATAAATATTTGCTAACATTTAATGGAAACACTTATCATAGGACGTGCTCGACGAAGCACTTTGTTCTCTAAATAGTATTTAATGAAGCAAAGAACGCAACTGCCGCTGGCTAAACAAACTGATCAGAGATCGTAAGATCGCAAACCTCATTAATCATCTTAATTAAAAACGTATTATAGATGTGGCACGATCGATCACGACTCAAAAACCCGTTAAAGCGCCTAACAGTAAAAATAAATAGATATATAATAGATGATCTTTATCATGAATTCAGAGTCACGATTCGTGATTGCAAATATTTATTAATTAAATGAAAATGTCCTTTGAATTCGTTTGTTTTTGTGCGATTATGCGAATTAGCGAATTAATGCTATTACTTGACTTAATTGTAGTAATGATTAATGAACAAACTAAATTGATGGGATCGGTCGGTTTTAAACATAGAAAAAAAGATTATTTATTTCACTTACTATAACCAAACAATTTTATGAAGAGATGAATATGAGTTTTTTGATCCATTTCCAAACTTCAAGAACTGCCTACTCAGTTTAGTTTTTAGCTCGGAAGGGTTCAGCTTTGGTAGTGAGCTGGTTTTTATGTTAAATGTCTTACTAATTACCATTCTATTGGCCGCTCTGTTTTTTTATGTACTCGTACAACATCGATGTAGCAACTATCGTCTTTCTGTACAAGTTTTTTCGATATCTCGTTACTGAATATTTTATTTCATGCGTAATTGAATTCCCTTGAAATAAATGCATTCATCCATTTGTTAAATAACTTACTTGCGTTCTTAATTAAAATGATATCTAGTAATGATCTCTCTGTTCTTCACACTTTCAGGACCTGTATTATATAGCCTTTGGCTATCCCGAAAAGGAGCTCGGCACAGACATAGCGCTAATTACTGGCGGTGGTAATGGACTGGGACGCTTGCTGGCCGAAAGACTGGGAAAAATGGGCACAAAAGTTGTCATATGGGACATCAATAAGAAGGGTGAGTTGGTCTGCCATTTCCACGTCTAAAACAAATGCCTATTTGGAACGTTTCAACCAACAGGCATAGCTGAAACTGTTGAAATAGTGCAAGAGGCAGGTGGCTACTGCAAGGGCTATGTGGTGGACATATCGAGGAAGGAAGAGGTGTACAAAGCAGCCGATGTCATCAGAGCTGAAGTTGGTGATGTAAGTACAAAACAATGACAAAACGAGGGTGGAGCGATGGATGTGCGAGTATGTGTGTAGAAAGTGCGACAGTGCGTGTAGCAATTGAGGCATGCAACGAAAATTGTTGCTGCTCTTTACAGTTGAGCGCTCAATGTGGACGAGGAACTGATGTCGTGTAATTGCTTGTAAAGGGGCGTTTAATTATTTGTTATTGCCACACACTGGCGACTGTGCAACCCTTGCCCAAGCGGCAAGAAAAACTAAGTCTGAGCTAGGACGGGGGCCAAGGCCACGCCCCAGCAACACATTTATGCATATTTATGTCATAAATTTACCACGACAGGGCGTCAGAAAAGAAATTGGTATGCATGGTTGGCCGGCAAGCAGGCAGGCAGGCAGACAGACAACCAGGCAGGCAGGCAGGCACGCTGGCAGATAGCCTTGAAAAATGGTTGCACATTACAAAGCTGAAGCCCCAAGAAGTCAACAGAGCCGGTCCGACCGAAAACTGGTTGCCAACACAAACTCTCAGCCCCGGCCATTTATCAAAATGTGGAGCAGTTGCGCATGCGCGTTGCTTTTACCTCCTCGGCTACTGTTGTGCGCGCGCCCTACGGTGTGGCATGCATTTAAATTAATTACACGGCCAACGCATTTGCATTTGTGCTGATCTCTGGACACAAACAGACCGCTCAGACCACTCAGACCATGCCGCGCCTCATCACTCCCTTTGTGCTCGGCTCATTAAAATGGCATAAAAATCACAGCTACAAATTGTAGACTCGTATAAAGCCATAAATTCCCCAGCGCGTCGTTTTAATGATGATGCCACTTTTCGGTTGCATCAGCAAAGCATTTGGGGTTCGTGCCACGGCATTTTGTTTAAGCATTTATCACTACTCTGACTGCACAAGCAAATCACTGGATGGTGACTGCAACTGCTAATTCCATTAACAGGTCTTTGCCAAAGTGACGAAAGTTCCCAAACCGCACCAGACCCCACTGCATTTGGGACACACTTGAAGTGATTTAGCATTCATCTTATTTTTTTGTTGGTTGATGTTGTGAATCATTCAGCGTTGGATTTCATTCAAGCGGCAAGTGACGAACTTTGTTTGGGCCCCAGGTGCTAATTAGTCTATTGTTCGGAAACAAACTCCATTATTATTTGAGTTTACATTTCAGTTTAGAACTGCCTGTAGCCGTTTGACAATTTGTTTGAAATATTTCTTGATATTGAATTTAATTGCCAAAATTAGACAAAAAGTGTGGAAAATTTTAGGTTAACATTTATTTTATAAATTTCTTGAATTGTTTGTAATTAATGTTTAAAAATAAAATACAAATTTATTTCTTGTATAGCCAGTTTTTTTCTCGGACAATATTTTGTTATTTTATTCCAAAATAGAAGTCCCACAAAGCACATTAATAATACAAGTACTTGCCAAATCAATTATTTTGTTGAAATACATATGTATACTTGGTCGAGCCTGTTTTTTTACCTATTAATATGTCCCAGACAGTCTTTTTTCCAAATTAGCTCTACAAAATTCAAAACAAAATGTCAATAATTTGCAAAATAAATTGTTTTCTTCAGTTTTGTATAAATACATCGTAATTTGATTTGAGAATATAAATGTAATTCCGAGTCAGTTTTTTAAAACTCGTTTTCGTTGTTTTTACTGAGATTAAATTTTATATACATATTATAGATTATTTTTATTATCATTTCGTATATCATTACAGCGGCTCTATAATTAGTCGAAGAATTATTCAAATATTCCTTCATCCAAAGCGCACATAGACATATCAAGAACTGTCTTATTGCTTTCTTCTAAACCCCTTGCTCTAATGCTCCTTTAATAGGCAGGATCGGCAACCGAATACAACACAAGAGCCCTTACCAATCCTTAAAGTGCTTGCAACATGACATACGTAGGTTTTAGGATAGCACAAGAAAGTATGTATTGAAAATTATTCAACATTTAAGGAATATTAATAAGAGATTTGTTGCCTGGTTTAAATAGTTTTGAACTTTAAAGCACACGAATGACTACTTAGTGTCTTAATTTCGATCGAACTAAACTGAAACTGCAATGTAAAAATTGTACAATTCCTGTCTGGCTCTGCCATTTGATTCGTTTTATTATGTTCTTTAAATCATTTAACCAAATATTTCCTCTTTCAAATGAATCAATGAAATTCCAGCCTTTTAATAAAAATATCTTAACCAATGAAGCGTTTCCTGCAACTATGATTGAAAAGTAATGTTAAGTCAATAGAACCAATCCTGAGACCAATCAATTAAGATGCTGCTTTTCTACCAGATTTATCATTAGAAGTCTTCTAAGAATTCTAAGAAAACCAACCGGAAGTGCAAAACAGAGCAATCAGTTTCTTTTGCATTTCAAAATCTACAGTCAGGTCTACAGAAGATGTAGAAATACCAAAATGTTGTATTCCTAGCTCCCAATTTATTTGATTTATTTAAGGCGTCAACAATACGAGCTGTTAAAGCAAACTTAATAATTCTAATACTTGTATTTATAAACGCGAATAGACTGGAAACAGAAACTAGATATAGCTTCGAATTAATGGGGTATTTTATGTCCCGTCTAATTATAGCACTTGGGTAGTTCGCAATTGCGAAAGAAGAGCAACAAATCGGCTGAGTAAATAATTGTGCAAGAACTAGCAACATCTAATTGCGGGCAATAGAATCATGGCCGCTAGTCAGAGGATCGAGACAGAGCTGGATGAACAATCAGTACTATAGTTAGCTAGACAGGCAATGGTCGGCGAGAAATTGTGGAATATGATTTCATCACAGCTTTTGAATGGAGCTACAATGGAAATTAATGATTCGCTGAATTAAATTTAAAATAAAACCATAATCTCACCATTCATGTCAAGCTGATTTCTATCACACACTACTTATATCTAGATGCTCTTAATGGGTTTCCGTACATGTGCGTAGAGAGATGTTATTCAACTTTTGTTTGACAGGCTGCGGCTTCTGTTTAATTGCTTGAACATTAACTGAAATGCTTTTTAATTTGCCACAATTAAGACAGACAAAGCACACTGGCACACACGGGGCAACCTTTTCACGCTTGGCTAAGAACAGAATACATTTTTAAAAACTGAATCCTAACACACTCACGCCAGCTATGGCTATGAAATGGCTAAAATTAAATTCGAAGCTCAACAATAATATGAATATGCAAAATATAGCAAATGGAAAAAAGGTCTCCAAGTGCTGGCTAGAACGCAATGGAGCTGTCAAAATGTTGGCAAACAAAAAACTCTTGACTGCTTGAATGAACTGCCGCTTGAACGAATTATTTAATAATAGCCAAAGCGGATTGAACGCGACACTAGCTAAAAAATATAAATAAATAAACAAAAAGAGTACAACAACAATTAACTCTTTAGTAAGTCATGCGTTATGCAGATGACGCGTTGCTTTTGCTGACTTTTTGCTTGCTTTTATTATTGTTGCTGAAATGAAATATTACATTTAATATTTTTAATGGCTTGCTGTTGTTGCTTTTGGTATTTTAATGCACGCCTCGTTAAATGTTTTTCTTTATTTCAATGTAGTTGCTTTTTATTTCTGCTGTGTTTGTGTTTGTGTTCAAATCCGTCGCGTATACGCAATGTGTGCCGCTTGGCCTAGGTTAGTTGCACTTGAACCTTGTTGTCATGCCTGCTGCTGTTGTTGTTGTTGTGTCGGTCTTAACGACATGTTGCACTTGTTGTTAAGTTAAGAAAGCATTTAACTAGCAACAGCGGCACAACAACATTTTTTTTAATTGCTCAAAATTATTTAAATCTTTTAGTTTTGTTTTCCTTTTTGAAGCCTTTGCAAGTATTTTACATTTAAAAGTATTTGCAATTGGACCTTGACATGCTCCAGTTGCTAGCGCGCATATATCATGTAAGATATCTTGTATATATACAAGTAAAATGTGTAATTTATATTGCTCGTGTGTCAGTGGCAATAGACCAGGTTTCACTTTTTTGTAGGCATTTGCCATTTGGCAATGAATGCCAAAATTTTTAAGCAACCAAGCATTAAAAGCATTTCAATATACAATCTATGTCAGTAATCACAATAGTACGAGCAGTATTGATTAACATCGATGATTATATACGCTTTAAACTTGATGGTTGTATTACCTATAAAGTCGCCGCCATTTGAGCAATTAGTTGCACACTCGCCCCTCAAATTAAGAGAAATCAATTAAACTATGGGCATACAAGTATAATATTGTTTGTCTTCTAATGCCAATTTAGAACAACAACATAGCTTAGCTAAACAGTCTTTGGCTATGCTTAAGAAGAACATTCAAAAGTTAGTCGGTCACGGCGAATACACGAAGATCGGAAATCTTACTTTAAAGTCAAAGAAGTTATTAAGGCCGGGCGAACGGACTCTTAGTTTAGAGTCCAGTTTGGAAGTGCCGCATATTTGGATCAATTTTTTCAAGTTTTTTCAGGAACAATGTCGAAGATGAACTGTTAAAATAACAGAGACAATTATTATTATTATTCTTTCAATATTTGGCTAAGACTAAGCCAACCAAGAATTCCTGCAAGCGCAAAGAACAACTTAGATATACATATTTCCAGTATACACTTTGGACGTCTTAGCCTACCTATGCTAGTGTTACAAACATCAGCCTCAAATTGTAATGCTCAGCATCGGTCTAACAAGCTAAGAATGTGTGGTGCTAGACGCACACATTTTTAGTTTCGCAACAAACAAAATTTATGAGAGACTTTATATTGATTGCCGAAAGTGTCGGCACAGTTGGTTGATTGCCAAAAAAGATTACCAAAAATGTCAATTACATTAAATTAAACTTGTTTGTTTTTGCAGGTAACGCTGCTTATAAACAACGCTGGCGTCGTCTCTGGCCTGCATCTGTTGGATACGCCGGACCATCTGATCGAGCGCTCGTTCAATGTGAATGTAATGGCACACTTTTGGGTTAGTTATCGAGTGCGCCCATATGCTAAAGCGATCGTATTTAATGGACCTCCTTGACTTGTTATTTCAGACCACAAAGGCCTTCCTGCCCAAAATGATCGAGAAGGAACGAGGACACATTGCCACAATTGCCTCGTTGGCCGGCCATGTGGGAATTAGCAAATTGGTCGATTACTGTGCCAGCAAGTTTGCAGCGGTCAGTTGAGAATTGCAAATAACAGTGTCAGCCATAAGTATTTCTCTATCTACATATATATGCTCTGCGAATAATTACAGGTTGGCTTTGACGAGGCATTGCGCTTGGAGCTCGACGTCCTTGGCCATACCAACATACAAACCACCTGCATTTGTCCGTTCTTCATCCAAGCGACAGGCATGTTTGACGATGTGAATGCCAGGTGAGTGTCCGGATTGGTGGGCTCTCCGCACAATTGACTGACATTGCAAATTGTATTCATTTAGATGGGTGCCCACGTTGAATCCCAATGAGGTGGCCGATCGTGTCATCGTTGCCATCAAGAAGAACGAGAAACTTGCCATCATACCCGGTTTCCTCAAATTCATGTTGTCCCTCAAATGGTATGTAAAGTCATAATTAAGACAAATTACACTGATGTGAATGCCTGAATGAATGACTGACTGATTGCTTGAAATAAATGTTCATAGTTTTTCCTAAATCTATTACAAACTTTAATGTATTGTTATCATTGAAAAGTCACTTGAAAATGAATATTGAAGGGAATCTTTTAATTGTCACTTTCACATTGAATGCAAAATTTAATTCAAATTTTCATTTAATAGAATTGCAAAGGATTCCTAAATGAATGAATATGAATAATAATGAGAACGGTTACTATTAAGACAAATTATTCGTTAACATGGAAAATATGAGTGCCTTTTTGAATGCACTCGATTAACTCAAATTGAAGAATTTTAATAAAAATGTCAAATAAGCCCATTCACAAATACATTCGTTTAGTTTACTAGTAGTACATTCGCTTTAAAAAAAATAATTTAAATAAATCAGAATAAATTTCTCTTAAAGATTATTTTCTGCTGGCGAACAGTTGAATATTGAAATCGTTTTGAATGAAATGTATCTGTAAATCTCTGAAAGAATGCGAACTAGAGCTTCAAAACATCCCCCTTATCCCAAGAGACAAGAAGTTTATGTTGTTTTTGCGATATAAAATGTTATATTTACAATTTTTCCATAATGATTCTGTTGACGAGCTAAAATAGACTCAAATTGCTATAAACACTTAGCTCATGGAAAAAACAGGAATGCCACTTTGCTTTTATAAGCAAATTGTGCGAAAACAGATTGCCTCAGTGAATGAATGCTCATATCGCGGAAAGAATAAGAGTTAGAGTAAGCAGACATGGCGTGTAGATTCCCTTTCCCCCAAGAGAGATATAGTTTATGTTCTTTTTGTTATGAAACTGAACTGTATATTTCCAACTTTTCCATAACGATTCTGTTGACGAGCTAAACAGACCTAATTGGCAAATGATTTAGTAAAGAATCTTAAGTACTGTCTATAAGTAAATTGCGCAATTACTGATTGGTCCAATTAAGATATGTGTTGTTCCATACCTTGTTGGAGAATGATAAAGTAATTATATAGCTACTTCTCCACCGAATGCGAGACAGACTTTGAAACGCATTCGAGCCGCAGCCCATTAATATGCATACTTATGAATACATATATGCATTAGCTTCCTTTGTGTTGCATCAAAAGTAGACTACAAAGCTTTAGATGTTAGTATTTATACATATGTATTTTTATATAATCACTAACACAATGATTTGGCTGACCTTATGAATTATATATACATATATGCACGTGAAGTGCTTATATTTAACGTGTTATGCAATCCGTGAAAGAGTGAGGGCCTTGAAAATAAAACACGTTTTTATTTCATTCAACACAACAAAAGAAGGGAATTCACCTGTTCATTAATCAAAAATCAATAAATTAATTGAAAGTTGGAAGTGAAAAGGGGGAGTCTATGCTGAGAATTATTTATATAATATCAGAGATTTTTGCCAGGCAAAAGCAAAAATATAACAATGTTGAGCTCGACTTGAAATAAAACTTGTACAAGTATGAATACAATGCTATAGATTCTTGAAACCAATTTTAGTCTCTAGAATATTGTGAATAATGTTAGTTTTACGACTAATGCTCAACAAATGTGTGCTTGACCCTGAGCTTATCATGAATTTGCGAATTTGCATCCAAATGGTTCAATGTATACCTATAAATCCATTCATATACTATATACAATCAAATAGAGTTTTTTGTTGGCAACATTCTGTAAAATTATTCTCATTTAAAAATACAATCAAGGAACATTCAAATGGACGAACAAATATAATTAATCTCTTCTAACACTAAACTCTACCGATTCAAGCAATTAATATTTTAAGCCAATTCAGACTTATTGCAAAGAAAATTCACAAATCTATATAAATGTATTTGTAATCTATATAAATGTATTTGTAACATTTAAAATGTTTGCCCGAAGCTTGGTGAGGCAGTTCTGCGACAAAAAACTCAATTAATTCAATGTGCACTTATAAATCCGCTAATATCAAGTGAAAAACTTTAGTGAGTGAGGAAGTCATTCAGTTTTAATTCATAAATGCCTGCCCCCAGTACTCAATTCTTCATAGAAGTAAATCCTTAAAAGGTTTTCAAAGCGATTTAAGAAACGCAAGCTATTCGACCTTTTTTAAAGCTTTAATATGCTTAATAAATGTTTAAATAGTAATGCAAGGAAGGAGCCCATTCAAAGAGTTATTCAAATAAATAAATAAACTCATAGTTGAGCAACTCGCGTAAAATGTGTGTGAAGAAGTGTTAGCAGTGTTTAAATATTATATAGTACATATATAGCTAGTGTGTATTGTTTCTTAAGAGCTATATAAATATTCAACTAGTGTGTGAGTGACCCATGATTTCTAGCACTCTTTTAGATATGTTTAACATCTGTAAATCGGTTAGCATAATGCCTATAATATTACGCTTATATAGTATATACTTAAATGATTCAATGTGGATTCATGAATTTTTGTTATATTATAATTAAGCAAGTGTGTATTGTTTCTTAAAAGCTCTTAAGATTTACTTAAGAGTGTTACATTCTGCTGCTAATTGATTAATAATCGAATGATTCGTTAGTACTGCACTTATGATAAAGATGACTATTCAAATGCTCTCAAATAGATGCATAAAGTTTAGGTATTCATCTGGCGTGTATATATTTGACCCTTGATTTTGTGCACACTATTAGAACCGTTTCAAATCTGGAACATGCTTAACAATAATGTTTATAATGTCAGGCCAATGGCCGCTAATGCTGATGAACAAGTAATGAATGGGATTTAATGCCTATTAACGGTCCGACTGTCGTGCCTAATGACTCGCTTTAATGTGTTTCACTTTAATAATGTTCACCTTTTTATCTCTTTTGCAGGACCTTCCCCTGGGGTTGTGTTGGCGGTCTGTTGCGTCGTTTGGTGCCCGACGCTGCGCCTCACGGTGTGGCTACAACATCGCCGCTGCCTGCCAAGGCTGCAAACGGCAGCATTCTAGCCGGCGCCAACATTGTCAACTCCAGCAGCCCTCAGCTTGCCACAGACACCGCCACCGCCACCACCACCACGATTGCAACCCCCACTGCCGCCGCCATTACGGCAGACACTCAGGCGGACATTGCCGCACTCGATGCAGAACTGAGCAGCGTAACGCTGCCCGCAAAGTCACCCTCTCTGCTTATACAACGTACCCCATCCCTGGGCGAGCGTGTGCTCTGAGGCAACATTTTTGCATTTTATGTTTAATTTATTTTGTGTTTTTGGCATTTTTAATGGCCCCCACAAGGCACAATGGGCGCACAGTGAAGCCCAATAAGAAACCATTAACTACAAAAACAAAAATCATGAAGACGAGGTAAACCTAATCTAAGCTACAAATCTAGTGATATTACATTTAGTTAGTGTGAATACGATTAGTTGTTGTTTCCCAATAATCCTGATTTGTATGTTTGTATAGAAATGTCAGTCAAATGTCAGTCAAGTATACAGTAAGTGCAGGCTATAAAGCATTTCTCTCTTAAGCGTTCTTCGAGGGTGTAACCTAATTCTACTATTAACTTTAATTTCGTTGTTCTGTTTTTTTATCGCCAGGGGCAGTCGTTTCGGGATTATACTTACATGTATTCGTATTTCGGTTATTTTTTCTAGCTTAGGCCGCGTGATTTATTTTTGACTTTTGTCAAACGATAAAATACATACAAATATAGTTCAAATCAAAATCCAACTTAAATACAATAGCAAAAAAATTCATTTCCATTTATATATTTATGCAAAAAGAAAAGCAAATCGAACATTAATACTCGTACAAGGAAACTTATTTAGTTAGAAGACTTTGTCTTTTTTCGTACAAGGAATTGTTAAAATTTACAATGTTTACATTTTTCTTAGCTAATAACTACTTTGTGAAACAAATAATTAGTTAATTTATATATAATAATTACGAATTAATTACAGATAACCCATCAATGAAAAATCAAAAACTGTATACAATAAACAGCTAAATATTATGATCGAAAATCTCGAAAATTAAAATTAAAAGCGTACCAAAAATCTAGGTGTGGTTTCTTATAATTTGGATGGGAAAGGTGGTTCATCAAATTTCTTAACTGTTGATGAAATTTTTTTTAGCGAAACGAAATGTATTTAATTCAAACTGAATAAAAAAGTAATTTGTTTTTAGCTTCTAGCATTAGGAGCAAATGTTTCCAGATTTCAGGTATTTTAAAAATAAAAAATATGCACAAAGTGACTAAGGCATAGTTTTTTAAAATAAATAATTCCATTTGATTAAATTTTAGCCGGACTGGACGATACATTTTCTCTAGGCCTTGGCTAGTTCCGCCATTATTTTATTCTGTGACCTCTCCGGAGCGGATATTTGAACGGAATCTGGCGAATACTTTTGTTTCGTGTTTGCAGTCACAATCAGTTTGGAATTCAGAGAGGCTATAGCGTTGTAAATAAATCCACGAATTGGATTGCCATTGTGTTCCAATACATCAACCAATATGTTTTGGAGATGATCCATAAACGATGTTGAGAGCATCTGCTATATCTGTAACAACAAAGTGAATGAACGTCTACTCGTTCCCAAAACACTGCTACAACTCTTTCAATAATTCCGTAATTCCATTGGAAAGACGAAATTTTAAGAAAGGTAGTAAGACATAGGAAATTGTACCGATTCGGCTTAACTGGACCTGTCCGATTCAAATTCGACTATCTGATCAATTTGTACACCTAAAATGGCATAACATTATATTTCTGTGGTGAAAATATGAAGGAATGTTCTGAAATATATTGCGACTGTTTTCTAATTTATAAAATAAAGCAATAAATGGGATTGGGAAATTCGGAGAACAGACTAGTTTAGGAAGAGGGTCATGTTGAGTCCTCAATTGAAGAACAGACAAAAAAGAGATGTTACTTAAATACCAATAATTATTAAATCTCTATGGAACTTATAGTCCGTAAACAACCCAATTGTCCGGCATCACAAGATTACAACGTAATATTAAAATGTAAGCCCTAAACCACGTCGAGTGCTATTAAATGCGATTAAGCTTAAAGTTACAATATATACACAAGTATAAGAGTGGTTTGGCTGAACTCTAATTATTTGAACTATTTGCACACTTTTAGTTGGCGAATGGATTTTCATCGTATTTAACACTCAATTTCTCAGGTACTTCGTAGCGTCCTACGGGATCTCTATAAATGGGGTTCTCCATGACGACTCGTTTGTCCATTTCTTTCTTAAAGAGTTCATATTCGCGGGCATCCTTTAAACGGACACAGCAGCGACATATGCAGATAATCAAGAGACCCAGAAGCAGTGTGAGGAAACCAATTACACCGGCTGCTGCATAGTAATAGATGGGGTCACAGTCATTGGCCTCTATGATCAAGTAGTTGCCCTGATCGATAAACTGATAGGTAAAGTAACTATCGCAGTATTCGTCGGGATTGTATTTGTTCGCAGTCCGCACCAGACAGTGCACCGGCACCTCATCAATGTTCAGTTTTTCGACAAAGACGTGCGTGAAGTGCTGGTTGTATTCGGCATCGGCACAAACATCGGTCAGATTCGAACAGGTGCCCAGCTCGAGCTTCTGCTCGATGAGGCAGGTGACACATGGCTCATAGAACTGGCACAATTTGTTGTCCTTCTTGGTATCGATTTCGCAGAACATGCCGAAGAACTCGTCATCACACTGACAAGTGCCGCACTCGCAACTGCCACGACCCGAGCATATCTCTCCTGTGGGTCCGATGCAGCCATCTGTGGATTCCTTGCAATTGCAGCGCGTTCCCGACCACCCGTACTTACACACGCACCGTCCACAATAGCAATCGGCGCGCTCCTCATCGCAGTCCTCACACTCAAGACACTCACAGTACTTCCCCGTATAGCCCGGATCGCATATGCAGCTGCCACAGTCGCAGTCCCCACGATTTGAGCAGACTTGCGAGAGTGTCGGCTTATTATTCGAGGGGCTGACGGGCTGACGACACATCGTCAGAAATGCCTCATTGGTTGTCATATTTGTGGAGTCGGTGGGGCAAGTGCAGAAGCTGCCCGTCCAGCCCACATCACAGTTGCACATGCCACAATACATATAGCCCTGGTTTGCACACTGAGCGCGTCCATCCACATCATTCGGCTGCGGCTCCTCCTGACACGGACACGGTCGCTGCAATTCCACTTCTATTTCCATGAACTCCTCCAATGCAGCCTCCTCGACCCGAATTTTGTATGTCTGTAAAGAGTCTGCAATTATTAAATAGCCTCCAACTTGAGTTTCTTGCTCTACGCACATAATTCTCCAATTCTGGATAATCGTTTAGTGTTACATCCACAAAGAATTCCATTTCCTTGCCCAGGCCCACGTTTTTGCAAAAGTTTTGCTTACGTAGATTGAGAAACTGACCACCACAGTCGGTGTAATAGTCCAGTTGAATGAAGTTAGGACTGTTGTCCGTGAACTGGGTGCGATTGATCAATCGCTGGTAACTGTAAAAATATAAAAACGCTTAGGTCCTTGATATCTTTGTCAGAACTATAATAAAATAGTTATCTAGGTCTTATATGTTATTATGTTGTTACTGTATGGATGGGGGGATGGGGAGATTGGGCCTGGCATAGCTCAACGAGCTAGCAGAAGTCCCACAATGTGATTTCGTTCCTTGAGTAGGCCCTCGGTTTGAATCACGCCGCAACCATCATGACAGAAGCATGGTTGCAAATTGTCAAAGTTATCAAAAAATTAATAATGGGCCAACCTAACACACAGCTTAAATAAATATTAAAGATTTATAAAAATCAAGTCCCGACTTTGAAATACTCTGTACATACATACAAAATTAAGAAAATAAAAAAAAATGTTTCGATCGATTTTACCTTCCTTGGTATTGGAGTGTATGCATGTCTATTCGTGTCTGTGTAAGCATGTATGCAGCACAAAGTTTAACCGAAGCAGTGACAACAACAACAGCTGCGGGCAGCGTTTGAGCAGAGAGAACCTATATATGGCTAATACTTCCTTTAAAATCGGCCCATCAAGTTAAAGCTTGGCATACGGACTCATAATCAGTACCTGGAGGGTCTTGCCGACGTACCAAATTCAAAACATTACGGGAGTTATGGGTGTGGGGGGTGCATCAGAAAAAAAACACACACACTCGTCTTTCCTCTTAGGACAATCTGCATACCAAATTTGGTTATTCTTGCTCTTGTACCTGCTGAGATCCTTGCGTTCATACAGACAGACGGACATGGCTATATCGACTCGAGTTGTAATCCTGATCAATAATATATATTCTTTGGGGGGACTGCCACGCTTCCTTCTTTTAGGAGAGTCTATAATGCAAGTTTGGTAAATGTGGGCTTAACCGCCTCTGAAATCCAGGCGTTCATCCAGACAGACGGTCATGCTGAATAAGAATATATACTTGTATTATTGATGGGGTCAGAGACATAAAAAGATTGCCATAGCAATCCATATTAAAGTCTAGCTAGGTTTTAGAATAAGTGCCCGTTTTACTTCACTACCTCATCGCATAAACAAGAGAGAACGCTCCAGTCGAGCAAGCCCGACAGTGTAATACCCTGTACCCAGGTAAACTTCCGTCACTGAGTTATTTGCGCCCATAGCCGCAGCAAAAAGAGGAAGAAGAAGAGCGAACTTGTTGCTGCAGTTTGTGGGGGTTGTACTGGCGAGAATTTGTTTCGCTAATAACTTTTCTTAGAATTGACCGAATTGAATAAAATTTGTAACAACAGTAGACAATTATATATAAATGATGTGTGCAAATTTGGTTTAGGTAGCTTTTGAAATGTGGACGCTATTGACGAAATTCTGCAGCGGGGGAAGGGGGGGAAATTAAAAAATTAAAATAAACTCGTCCTTACTCGGACCTAGGAGAATCTGGATGCCAACTTTGGTTATTCTAGCTTTTATAGTTTCTGAGATCCTCGCGTTCATCCAGACGGACGGACAGACGGACGGACATGTCTAGATCGATTTCTCTCGTCATGCTGATCAAGAATATATATACTTTATGGGGTCGGAGATGCTTCCTTCTGTATGTTACATACTTTGCACAAACCTAATATAGCCTTTTTACCCTACGGGTACAGGGTATAAAAAGAATGGAACTGAAACTTATCTAAGAGTCGAAGGCTCCCCAGGACATTGGAAAATGCAGAAGCTTCTATCTTAAATAAGGATCGTAGCTAATTCGTTCCATTGCATTGATCGACTAGGAATTGTTCAAATGCTCTGCACTCGCCTCCTCACTTCATCTCACTCACCTCTTCTTCAGCAACTCCAATATATTGGATGAATCTGTGCTGAGTATATTGACATTGCTGATCTCTTTCATTAGCTCGCTCAGCTGGCGATATGTGCCGACCACATTCTTAGTTACAGCAAATATAACGCTAATCTTGCGTCGCAACAACTCCCTGTAGATCTCCTCCAGCGATGGGTAGTCATAGATGAGAGAGCCCGTATACTCGCCCGCCCCATCTAAGTGACACTGCTTGTCATTTCGCTGTGATATGCCCGCCAAGAGACCATCGCCAGCGAAATGCATGAAGCCATCGGTAACCAGTAGAACCACCTTCCTGGCCTTATGCTTCCAGCCGATCTCCGAAGTGCAAACAATAACCTGCATCAGAGCATCGAGTCCACCTTCTAAGTTGTCCAGATTTCCCGTCACCTGGCTGCCAGCCACAGCCTCAGTGAACTCGGCTATGTTCTCCGTCAGCTGCAATTTATGACGGAACCCGTAAGTGGGCTCACAATGATCCGGAGCGCAGGGATTTTCACGCAGCTGGGGCATAATCATCGGCATGGCTGGCTTGTCTGCAAAAGTACCGAACCCCAGCCGATAATTGTCCGTCAGATTGCGCAATGTTTGCGCCAATTCGGAGCCCAGTTTCACCAGCGTGTCCTTGTCATCGCGCATCGTCCAGGTTAAGTCCATCAGCATATATAGATCGAGTGGATTGTTGCGTGCTGGCCGATAGTTCAGCTTAATTCGTTGCGTGTGTCCTAAATGGGGGATAGTGTGTGGAAGAGAGCAGTTATGTTTGTTTGTTTTTTAAGATATAGTACATGCTAGATTATGGTGACTTTTTATGGACTCTTTTATCTGTCGTAAAATAAAAGCTGTTATTCACTCTTATTCCACACCATGTAACCCTTTATTAGCACTTCACACAGTGGCTAGAATTGCAGGAATGATGGGAAGAATGGGGAAATATTTTTGGTACTTGAAACTAAAAGACCACTGACTGAGGATTATATTTAGAATCCCGATATTTAGTTTTGCTTTGGAATTAAGAGCAACTGAATACAAATGGACCGAAGATTAAATGTAGGAGTTCGCCTCAAATTGGCATCCCAAGAATCCCAATATTTAGCTTCCCTTGAGCACGAGAAAGCATTAGTTTAGGGTTTCCCCGTTTTATTGTAGATGCTTCCATAATATTAGTGATACGTGACATATTTGATTTACATTTTACAATCGTCTTTAAAGATATAGTTCACAAACAAATACGGTTATAAAAATGTAGAAACTATTGAATCTCATTTGAAGATTTGGGCTACCTATAACTAGCTGAATCGACACAAATCAGTGCCAAGTAAATACCGAGATTGTGGAAATTCCAGTACTGCTTTACGGCTTTGAGGGCACTCTACTCCTCTCAAACAACCAAAAACTGGGGAACTCTTTTTTCTGAGCACTGAGCGATATATAACACATATTCTAAGCAGACCACATTGTATATGAAGGAAAGTGATTTTAAAATCTCACTTCTATTATATTTAATTTTCTCAACTGTATATTATACCCAAGCCGGGATAGGTTTTATCAATTTAACCATCTCGTTTTAATTAAACCATGTACTCTTTGGGCTAAAAGGCTTCGTAGTAATCAGAAAAAGGCATGGTCGAAAGTGTATATATTCCTGATTAGCCCAAGAAGATGCTACTTTATTGATGCGACCGTTCGTCCGTCTGTCTGTATGAATGCAAGAATTTTCCAAATTAGAAGAGCTAGAGCCACCAAAATTGGCATTCTGGTGCTCCAAAGTCCAACAAAGGCCAAGTTTATCTTTTTTTAATATTTTATTACTTCTCCCCCACCCCCTCTTCGCTTCAATTAGCATACCGAAAAGTATGTAGAGTATGGTTTTTGTTTTTTTTTTGTGTTTAGTAATGTATATATATTTGTAAGTTTTCGCTAAGCTTTTGGCCCCACTGTGCAACGACGTGTTCACACCCATGTCGGTGGTAAGTGGGCCTTTGCTTATTACGTGCCACATATTAAAGGTCCATCAATTTGTTGTTAATCCTTAAGCATGCAATTTACTGATTGTTTCATCGCATAATTGCTGGGTTGTTACTCGGTTTCAGCTGTTGTTGTTGTTGTTGTTATTGTTGTTACCAACATCTGCGATTGTTGTTGTTGTTCTTGTCGCTGTTGGTGTTTCTGTTGTTTTTATTGTTGCACAAAGTACAAAGTAAGTAATGGCAGCCAATTGGACAATTTAGCATGCTCGTCACTCAATGATTCAAGCCGGAGGAGAAAAAACAAAAGAAGCAAGAAAAAGAGTTACAGTTGGGTGAGACAGCAAACGAGTTGAACTGACCTGCCCCAAGATATTAATCTCAGCAGGTTTCACTCTTTTGTTATCTGTTGAAATCTTGACAACAGACAAGGGAAGGCGCACAAAACCGCTTCCTGCTAGAAAGCTGCATATCAGTGGCGCTCGTTTAACACCTGTTTCGGGTTCAACGAACGCATAAATAAAAGTTCACACGAGATATGACAAGAAAACGAAAAACAACAACAACAACAACAACGAACAAAATTCTCCCTCCTTTCTACTTGTAGATAAGCGCGAAATGTAAAAAAATAAGTGGAACAAATAGACAAGCCAAATAAATATAAACTGATGACACAATTTCTTCCCGCTTAATGAAGCCAAGGGTAGTTCGTTCTGACCGACTAGGCCAACCCAACAACAACAACAACAACTACACTAACCATAAATTGTAGACAAGCTACAACAACAACAACAAGAACAAGAGCAACAGAAACACATGTAGCAGCAAAACAAACACAGACATGGGGCACTTCTGTTTTTTTTTTCTTCTTCTTGTAACCCACACGACAAACCGATTGATAAAAGGCAAGGGCCAAGATAAGATAAGCCGAAATGTGTCTAATAATTAGAGTGACCAAAGCAACACAATTGTGGGTGCCGAGCGAGCGTGTGAGGCATAATTATGCAGATATACAAGTATAAGTATGTAACGCCCCCCAGTAGTTGTGGCTGACACCTCAATATCTGTAAACATACTTGTATGTATGCTTAATTGCCACGGTAAGACAATTATTAAACTATCCATTGGTCTAACGCGCTTGTTTGTCTGTCTGAACGCCTGTATAACGAAAATTATCAGAGCTATAGTTGGTCTAAAAATTTCGTGTGTTAAGAGTAGATCTTTCAAGTTTCGGTTAAACTTTTCGATTCCAAACTATGCGGCATCAACTCCATTATAATTCTTACAAATTTTGTGAAAATCTGATTTCTATAATTTGAATTAAAATTTGGAAACGCAACCAGACCCTATAAAACAAAGCTTAAGCATATAATATGATTCTGAAAATCTGCAGCTTATAGAAGCAATGTCATAATTAAATTCAACAAGAACAGCACAACAGAAACCAACTCTTAAATATTCAATATTCCAAAATAACATAAATAATTTCAGATGATTTCAAAGAACCTCTAACGTGAGGGTAAGTCCAAAAAACAAATGTGTCCTTTGTTTTCTTTGGCCTGCCAATGTGGAGCCATTTTATTTTACTTTTATAACTCCTTCAGATAAGCAGCCAGGGGAGTAAGGAATATAGAAGTGCATAAGAACATTTCTTATGAGTTTCTGTTTAGATTCGTTTTGTGAGCTATTTGAGCTTTACATAAGTTCTATTTAAATCAGACTTCAAAGCAAATGATATATGACCCTTAAAATGAAACAAACACACAACAAATGAATGGACTTTAAATTATACTCTACTGTACCAATATCGTTTAAAAGGGCAAATTTTCGTTCAACCTTATACGTAGAATATCAAGTTTAATAACGAAATAAACAAAGGCCTTACTAGACACTGCTACAACAACATTGAGTCATAATGTACTGCCCCACTTTTGTTTCAAAATCCTTTTATATATGACATTAGCTTGTTATAGTTATTAACTGGCTCTTTCAGGGATTTTCTTTCAGAATAACTTCTAACCATATACATCTAATTCTGTTTTTACACGGTAGATTGATTCCAGAAACAACCGTGTAAAAAAAGACATTGATCATATGTAACAAGAGAGAACGCTACAGTCGAGCAAGCCCGACAGTGTAATACCCTGTACCCAGGTAAACTTCCGTCACTGAGTTATATGCGCCCATAGCAGCGGCAAAAAGAGGAAGAAGAAGAGCGAACTTGTTGCTGCAGTTTGTGGGGGTTGTACTGTAGAGAATTTGTTTCGCTAATAACTTTTCTCAGAATTGACCGAATTGGATACAATTTTAAACAACAGTAGACAATTATATATAAATTATGTGTGCAAAGTTTGGTTGAGGTAGCATTTGAAATGTGGACGCTATTGACGAAATTCTGTAGCGGGGGAAGGGGGGGAAAATTAAAAAAAAAAAAAAAAAACTCGTCCTTACTCGGATCTAGGAGAATCTGGATGCCAACTTTGGTTATTCTAGCTTTTATAGTTTCTGAGATCCTCGCGTTCATCCAGACGGACAGACGGACGGACAGACGGACGGACATGTCTAGATCGATTTCTCTCGTCATGCTGATTCAGAATATATATACTTTATGGGGTCGGAGATGCTTCCTTCTGCATGTTACATACTTTGCACAAACCTAATATACCCTTTTTACCCTACGGGTACAGGGTATAAAAATAGGTGATTGGTTCCTTATCTCTGAAGAAATATATATGGATTTTTAAATTTTGAAACCGTGTTATATCAAAATCGAGTAAAAAAGACAGTGTACAAACCGAATTAGGTGTATACTATATGTTCCCTTTTCCGAATACGAACAAATGATGTGGAATTGAAGTTGAGAAATGTATTCGACTGAAATGATTTATCTTGGATCTAATGTTTGAGTAGTGTTCTATTTTCATTTCCAGCGCTACCTCAATAGTTTTCTGCGATGATTTTAAACCACCCGAATATTCGATGCAAAATGCTTTTGTGTCCATGTCTGGTCACCTTAACGGTAAAACGTGCTCGTACCTTTAACCAACTTGAGGTAGACGCGTTGGGGAGAGACCTGCACGGCCTGATCGTCGCCCGGCACATAATCCTTCAACGGCGCCTGCTGCAACACATCCATCGCCGGCTCGTTCTCATAGATTTGGGTCTCGTTGCAGAGAGCGGCGCGGAGAGAGTCGCGCGTTAGGCAGCGGGTATGTCCATCATAGCTCTGTAACGGATTGTCAAGGTGTGAGTCAGACAGGTGTGGTTGGGCATGTTTGTGTGTGTGTGTGTGTGTGTGTGTATACTAAATATGCATGTGTGTTTGTGTTTGTATTTGTGGTTGTGGTTATTGCTGTGGTTCTGGTATTGGTATTGGTACTGGTTGCTGTTGTTGTTGTTGTTGACTTACCCTGTCCGTGCACCAAGCGCAGTTTAAATGCGCATTCAGGCAGCGCTGGCAGCTATCCGCGTGCTTGCATTTCTCCTCTGAAGCGGCAAAGCATGAAAGGGTTCACATTATTAATTAGCTATGGCTCATTATTATATAACAAAAAACACACAAACAGACGCACACACAAACTATATATGTATGTACATATGTATACCTATTGAATTGGCCGCAATTGTTAGGGCAGCTAAAAACAATGGAGCAAGCACTTTTGGTATCATTTTAACGACTTTTGTTTATGATTTTCAATAATATTGTGCAACGTTCCGTTTCTGACCGCATGTGTGACACATTTCGGAACCAAGCGCGGGCTATCTGGGCACTTGCCAGCGCAAAAACCAAACCGCAACTAATAATTTTCTATATACGAATGGCTGGCTGGGCTTGCCTCGTTCTGTTATCTTATCAAAAGCGATAAAAAATATACAAAATACATAATAAAAAAAGAGGAAATATGGTTAGAAATTAGCACAGAGCGTTCAAATTGTTTGAGCGTGACGAGCAGAACAACAATAACAACAATTTCGCAATCGGTTTGTTTTGTTTAATAATTCACGTTACTTTTACTCTTTTGTTGCTCAGGAAAATTACTAAGCGTTATTCAGTAGCTATTTTGTTACATTTATATTAATGGGAAATTTTTAAAAAAGCCCGATTTAGTGCTAGAAAGGTAAAAAGAAACACATAGATATAAACTACATATTTAAAGAACTACATATTTTAATGGAGCTTTTTTTTTAAATTCTGCACTATATCTATTAATATTGAGTTGAGTTGTTTATTTTTATTTAAAATTCGTTTGCTTTTTCTTTCTAATTTATGATAAAATACAGTTTTATTCATTATTTTTACTAAATTTTTTCTTATAAATACAGAAAACCATCTTTTAAAGTCATTTATAATTAAAAAAATATCCTTAAAATCATTTTTCGGATTAAATGTAATTTGTTCTTTAAAGTCTATACAAGTTCCTTAAAAATAAAATGAAATGTATTCAACAATCATTTGTTTATTACAAATCAAATTTTATTTTCATAAGATATGTTTGAAAAACGACATTTAATACTTTTTCTGTACTGTTTCAAATGAGCGCGCGTAGTTTTATACCGAGCAGCTTTTGTAAGGCCGTAAAAATACCAGTAACTACAAAACAGCAATTAAACAAACTAAACAGCAAGCAGCGAAGCGCTGGAAGAATAAAATCCCCATCAATACAAATAATCCATCCTAAATTATAAACATTAAGGAATAAATCAATATATATTTACTGCTATTTCAAATTGATTTTGTGCGCAATAAATACCGCTGCAGCAGCCAGTTGGCAGCTCTGTGTACGCAACGATGCGCATGCGGTATTTGTCAGCTGCTATCGCGCCGCGGCTGTTGAACAACACACATCTCTAGCGCTCGGCAGTATCTTAGTATCTTTTACTTCGTACGGTCGCGTCGCGGAAGAAGCTGGCGCGCTCGTTTGCCAGAATTTTGCTGTGTTTTGCGGAAAATTCAATGAAAATTCCAAATGTTTAACAAATAAAGCGTATTGTTTGCAACAATAAACGCAGCTGTTTCCAGTGAAACCAAAATATACGGTGAGTGGGTGTCAAAAGTGTCTTCGGAATAAAAATTAATTTAAAGCAAAGCGCCGTGTTCAACAAAATAACGCGCAGCGTCGACGGCGACGGCAAAACGGTATTGCGGCAAAGGTGAAAAAGTCATTAATAAAAGAAAAATAGAATAGAAGTGGAATACATAACACAACAGCAACAACAACAACAACCTAAAATACCAATAAAAGAAGGCAAAAATGCGCAGCTCTCAGCGAAAAGGAATTTTTTTGTGTACTACGATGAAGTTGCTGCCTATTGTACTTATTGTTGTTGTACCTTGCTAGCCTAGCTGACTTGTTGTTGCTATTCTAGCGGCAGAATCGGCGGCGGCTGCGGCAGCGGCGTGCGCGTTGGCGTCCAATGCATTGGTTTGTTTATTGTTTGCATGCTTGTATGCATGTATGTGTGTGTGTGTGTGCGCTTGTGAGTTCGCGAGAGTGAGAGTGCGTCTGTTATTGTTGTTGCTGTGATTGGAAAAACCGAAAACGTAAAATGAAAAAAATAGCAACAAACACAACCACTGCGATGGCAAATTAGCGTCACATTTATTTTCTGCAGGAAATTTAACCAATTTAACTTTTTTTGTTTTCACTTTTGCTTTGCATAAGAAAATTGCTATAAAGTGAAAAGCTTAATTTATTAAAAAAAAAAGCGTGAACCCGACTCTTGCATGCCCTTTACCCGGCTCTCTGGCAATTGTTTGTAAATATCATTTCTACTGTGACGTGATTTAGATAAAATGTCAGATTATAGCCAGGCCTTAGAAAAGATATGTATATGAATACTGCTCTGCCAATTGGTTCTTTAATTCTTGTAAATACTTGCCATTCTTATTAATAAACACAATAGTTATACTACTAGATGTGTTGACCCGGCTATATCATATATCAATAAATGAAGCTATACATGCAAATACAAATTGTAATAATCAAGAACTGTGGTTAAGACAAGTCTAAATGGCTTGCTTGGGGTCTCCAGCTGTTCTCCTTCAATTGAAATTGGCGTTAATACAGACGAACAGTAACACAGACGGATGTGTATAGGTCTCTATCCAATTGTGTCGTCATACCGATCCTTACATGGCGTTTGCCACGCCTCCTCCTATCCCACACTTCAGCCATTTAGACTTTCTGGCATAACCTTTCACTCTCTCTGGGCTCAGGGTGTAAAAAAAGCAACCAAATGCAATGACAACGGCAAATTGTCATTAACATTTATTTTGTGCAGGAAAATTAACCATTTTCATTTTGTTTGCGTTTGCTTTGCATAAGAAAATTGGCAAAAGTGAAAAGTTTAATTTAGTAAAAAAAAAATGAAGAAACGCGGCGCATGAGCCGCCAACGCTAACGGTGCGCCGCTGCCGTCGTGCACGTCTCTAATTTGGATCTGCCGAATTACCCACGCACACCAATACACACACACACACACAGCCATCAACACACAAACACACACACAGCAGTCCGTCGAGGGAGCAACGCACGTAGGAAACAAAACACAAAGTGTTTTGTTGTGCCTCCTCCGTCGTCCTCATCGTCGCCGTCGTCATCGTCGTCGTCCGTCTGTCTCTATTTTTTGCAATTTCCATTGCACACGCTCGTTCGTGTTGGATTATTGGATTATACCGCTAGCGTCGGCGTCGACGCTTCGCCAATAACGATACACACACACACTCACCCACACCCGCAGAAAGAGGGTATTAGACGCAGACGTAGACGCCGAGGCGGCAACGCACCGTTGGATTAACATCCTTCAGAGGAACGTGCCTTTAAACTCAGTCAACAGTCATCACCTGCGACCTCCTGCAGCCTGCTGCCTGCCGCCTGCACCTCCCCCTTGCCCGCAACTGCAACTCCCACGCATTTCATCAATAAAAAAGGTGAGTAAAAGTTAATGTGCTTCATAATTATGTATTACATTTGGGTGGGGCGATGTCCCCCCCACCTGTTTTTATGACATCGAAATCTACTGATACCCCATAAATATTTTTTATGTTCAACCATTGAATGGCATGTCAGTAAATGATTTCATCCAGAGATTTAGCAGAGATGACAGCAAAGTAATTTAATTACCTACATTTCGAGGGTCAGCTCTGGTCCATTAATGAGGTACATAAATAATGCCAACTGCCGTTAAGGTCGCCCACGGTTTTTATACGCAATACGTACTTGTCCGTGATTTTTGAAGCGAAGGTCTAGTTCATGATTAGATTAGATTGTAAAACATTATTGGCAGCAAACTCTTGCTTGCCTTAGAAAAACTTGATGTTGTTTGCAAAATAGGTTTTGAAATAGGTTTCGCAAAACCGGAGTCTCGTTCCATTAACAAAGTCGATTTTGTTTATTTCAGTGTACGGTTTTTCATAAGGTGTTACATTTTCGAACAATATAAGTAGTCTCATTTATTAACATGCTAGTAAATGGTTTCATCAAGAGGTTTAGCAGAAGATGACAGCAAAATAATTATAAACATTTCGAGGGTCAACTCCCTTGTGCCACAAAATGGGGCACATAAATAAAGCCTTAATGATAAGAGCGGGATTTCTGTTCTGAAATTGAATTGATCACGTAGTTTACGTTTCAAAAACCTATGCACTTAGTTTGTACAACACTAGTGATGCTAACATGATTTGCATCCTTCAATTCCTTAAGTTGATTGCAATTTAATATTTATTCAATGATTTCCCCTAAAAAGTCTGAAATTTAAATGATAGTCTTAGTTAACTGATTCGCATCCTATCAAATAAGTTTGTAAAACTCTATCGATGGCTAGCTTTGCTTCTTTGAGAAACTATTATTAGATTGCTTTTCGGTGGTTTTGATTCCAAATTTTCCATATAACCGGATTTCCAATCACATGTTAGCTTAAACAAGTCGATAATCTTTAAGCTAAGCTCTTTTGAGCTAATTTGAATTGACAAGCATTATAAAACTGTTTAAATATAGAAAAGCTTCCATAATTATTTGTAATACAATACAAATAGAGAGATAGAACCTAATTTTAAAATAAATTTGAATTTATCTGAGATAAATACATATGTACTTGTAAAGTTCTTATAAAAATTTTTGATAATACCAATAGAGAGAGGTCTTTCAAACAGCTTATAAATTTGATTGGACTAACCTTGACTTCACCTGAATATAGTGCAATAGAAGCTCCAACAATAATTACTCTTTACTATAGTGCCATAGAAACTCCTCCAATAATTATTAATAATATTCATAGAGGGAGAGATAGCGAGCTCTTTAGAACAATCATTACATTTTGTTTGAACAAATTTGACTTTGTGTGGCATGCCTTCATTCTGGAGGCATGTGTATTATGCAGTATGACAGGATATAGATACATTTATGTACGCATTGCACTCTAACCGCCTGACAATTTATTCTAATGCCGATTTTTATCGGGCACATAAATTTCTGGGCTTGCTTTTCGTACGCCGTAAAATTTTTGTGGCAACTTTGGTGATTTATTGCCTGTCGATTGTCGCCGCAACGATGTCGGCGACGTCGACGACAACGACGACCACGACGACCACTTGGAGTCCAGACGGACCTGACTGGACGACTCGCCTGACTATGGTTGGCTAGCTGGCTGCATGGCTGACTGGCCGGCTAGCCCATGGCGGCCAATGTGGCCCAACTAATGTACGCGTCGCGCAGATGCCGCGGATTAG